TTTCCTTCATCAAGCAAAATTATTCTGATCTGTTGCAGTTAGTTTTCGTTATCTCCTGACCCTGAAAATGATACATTCAAAGATTTAGTGAAGGTTAGTGAAAGACTGGTAATTCCTCTTAAAGAGTAATTCTAACTAAATCTAATTAGGAAGACCCTTAAAGTAAATCCTAAATAAGCCATCATAACAGCAAAAATTAAAAAAATGTCCTTCATACACACCTCACTAAACTAGTGCAAGTTTACACATAAACAAGACCTCAGCAATTTAAGAATGCTTTGAAATTAGTTTCGCTAATCAAAATTAAGACACTAGCTTGCCACAGACAGCTTAGAAAATACAGCTTGCTAGAAACAAGCTGGACCAGCCCGAAGAGATAGGTGCGCTGGGAACAGGAGGGCATAAACGAAGATGGCCACAGAGACTTCACTGGAGAGAGGTTTGGGTTTGTTTTAAATAACCACACCGCTGTTTAAGTACTCAGCACTGAAAGCTGATGGCAATCTGTACGGGAGATAAAAAAAGGCGGTTTATAGAATCATAGAATCATTTAGGTTGGAAAAGACCTTTAAGATCATCCAGTCCAACCATTAACCTACACTACCAAGTCCACCACTAAACCAATTAAGGGTGGGGTAGCAATTTTGTGTTTCCTGGCTTGCTGGCTGGATCATTTATAATGAAAGTAAAAACTAGGAATCATAAAGGTTGGAAAGGACCTCTAAGATCATCAGTCCAACCATCAACCCAACACCCCCATGCCCACTAAACCATGTCCCAAAGTGCCACGTCTGCCCGTTTTTCGAACACTATAATGTCATCTCCCCCACAATCTCTGTTTCTACACAAATAATTGCAATTCAGTAAGGTATCAAGCTGAGTTTTCCAAACTCCAGATTGGACAGTCTTTTCTTTAGATGAAAGTTTTAGTAACATTAAACTTTTCCATTGGGTTATTCAAGGGAATGAATTGGGAGATGAAGCAACGTAAGACATAGCATTTCTGCTGTGGGAAGTCAGAGCTCAGCGCAGCTCGCTGCTGGCCACAACGCACAGCATCCACCCCCGGACCCGACACGTTCCCAGGCTGGGGGATCTGTGCTCCTAACTGGTACGGGCGCTCCGGGCTGCAGGTGCTCCTTCGCAGGCTGCGGATGCTCTCGGAACCAAATCGCTCCCCACGCATCTACGCGGAATACCACGCGAGAAGAGGGGTGCTACACCTGCAAACCTCACCCCTCCTCCTCCTGTGCGCAGCCCTATCGCCGTTCTTTCCATCAGGAAGGTGTATGCACAATCCCTCATTTTTCAGTTAAATTATTTAAATTTTTAAAGTAAACAGGTTCCAAGACATTTAGTAACAGAATTGAAAGAACTATTTATACTCATATTTTTGCCCTTAATGTACTGGTATTTCTTGAGCATGTTGCATCAAAAATAAAGATTCACAACATTCTTGTGTCTGCATAGTGTTGAGAAGATTAACTGAGTTTCTGGTATCACAGAACTTGTGTTTGATACAAGCTACCTTATTCCACAAAAAAAAAAATCATCATTTACAGTGTTAAAATACAGCAAATTGGGGTGTTTGCAATTTGTGAATGAGACATTTAGTATCACTCATACAAGCTTATTCCTGGAGGGAAAAAAAGAAACTATTAATGTAGTCTTCAAAATAATTAACACAGGATTTAGAGAGAACTATTTGGAATTAATTTTTCTAATTAAAAAATTGTGTGGGTTTTTTTTTTTTTAAAACCTTAACTACCTCTTAAGACAACACTATTCTGTTGCTCGCCAAAATTTAACTATTTCTGACTTAAATTCATTATTCAGGTGTCCTCAGTCACTCATCCATCCAGTTTTACGCACACACAAAACTGTTAGTACCAACAAAGCCTGTGTCATTAAGCCTGGCTATACAGCATCTTTCTGCACCTGAAGCAAGTAGAATTTGTACAAACTGCAGACTTTAGCACCTGACAATGCTTTACGAATCCTATTGTAGTTTCCATTTTTGTTAAAAATGGATTAAAACCTCTTAAAAACCTTCACTTGTACCTTCTGTAAGATTCAGCCTCATTCTCAGTAATGCTGTTACTGAAGTTAGGAGCGCTTAAAAATATTTTATTCTCTAGCCAGCTGCATTAAAACCGTATTCCACATTATTTTAGTCTACATTTAAACACACTAGGAGTTGCCTCGCCTCACTGTGAGTAAAAGGGAAAGCAGCCACTATTCAACCGCAGGTGTTAAAGTAGCCCAGAATCCAATTTGTCTCTAGAATCCTAGAGACAAATTAAGTCTCAACACACCCCTATAAAGTGCAGAAATTAAAGATTCAGTGAATTTCTGTATCGTGCCTGAACAATGAAAAATTTCTGCATGATCCATTTTACTGATGACACAATACCTAAAAGCAGGTTCAGACACTTAAATCACACTGAAGTTATTGCCATTTCAGAAACAAGTATGAGGCAACTGACATATTTTAGTAGTTGCCCACAAGTTCAGGAAGGAACTTTTGCACTACAAGCCTACCTTTTTGTCAAATTTCGACTACTACAATTTTTGAGCCAAGTTATTATTTTAAGAGTCTCTCTTGCCTGACAAGACAGGTCAGGTTCTATCATCTCAATAACCCTGTTAAGAGTGAGGATGGAGGGAAAGCATGAATAGCTGGTGACCTGGGCAGGGGGGACAAGACGACACTACATCAGCTAGAACTCTAGAACACTCAGTATACAGTAAGCTACAAAAACATTTCAAAGACATCTCTTGGTAGTCTATGTTACATATAGGAAAGTTTATCATTAGAATGACTTACACAAAAAAAGCGCCTTATTTCACCAGATCAATTTTAAAAATACTCACTGCTTTTTAATTTGTAGAACAGCACACGTATGGCTTCTAAAGTGACCAGAACACTGACTAACCATCCTCTAGTTTAGAAGACTAAGCCATTCTTCAGCCAAATGCTATCCAGAGAAATTATTTGACTTAGTGGTGTCTCATAACTTGGCTCTTTGAGATTGCAGACTTGCATTAAGGATGGTGGTAATCCATGAACTGTAAACATGGATCAGTTAACCTAAACAGGAATGGAAACGTCTAAATCATTTAAGCATGCATGAATAAGTAAAGAGGGGAATAAGAGAGGGTAATAGAATTAAGCAGAAATCGTAAATGTCTAAGAGTAAGATAAATTCAGTCATTCAAGTGTTTCCTCCCCTCTTCTGTACAATGTTTGACAGTGAAATCAAACTCACCCATTTTGCTGCCTTCATCGCTTTGCCCCTGCAGGCTAAAAATGCATTCCCAGTAAGAGTACTTTAAATAAAAAGCAAATCCTTTAAATGAAAATTTAAATTTATTTTGAAATTTTTAAATGTCATTTCTATCAATTTAGACACACTGTTTGACATTATCAGATCAGAGAATTTACAGTGACTCACGGATAAAGATTTGGCTTTTACATTCAAACGTTAAGGACTTCAGAATAGCTTTGTCTTGTTATTTCCAAACCAGAAACACTAAAGAGCATTCTACTTTGCCTTTCAACCGTCTTTGTTAATTAACAGACTTTTGATATCTGCTGTACTTGGAAGGGGAACACGCACAACACCAAAGGAATCACTTTGTTTGAATGATGTACCTTCATTACAGTTCCAGATTTAAGACTAATTCATTGTAGCATCAAAAGGCAGTGCTAAGTAGAAAGACAAGATTTTTTTTTTTTTTTTAAAATCTATTTTCCTCAGGTAGACTGCAGAGCCTGACCTACTTGGAAAGCCTCCTTATGAAGATAAAAAGGTCTTGCTATCCAATGTTAATATCATACAGTCTTAAAATTTAGCAAGTGTTGTCAAGTTTTCATCATTATTTTTGGAAACAGTATTACAGAATTCCATCGCTATCCTAACACTACCCTTGTATTAGATTAATCAAATTTCGTTGTTAAACACTATCAGACTTAAAAATTGTGTTGATTTTATTGCTTACTCTAGTTTATTTTCCTACTCTCTAACACTAACTTGAAGCCAGATAAACAGAAAACCTTTGCAGGGAAGAGATTTGATCAGTTTGCCCATTCTGGCAATGAGAGTGCACCTCAAGTGTGTACAACAAAATAAACTGTTCCAAAGTGAATGTCAGACCGCCACTCTCCAAGAGGGACATCCTCCCATCATGCGTCTTAAAAAGTTCAGAACCCCTCCAATTTGTAAAAACAATGCAAGCTCCAAAGCCCTGGAGAAAAAGCTTTAGAGTACAACTTTTATGATATGCTGACAGGGGGAATCTCACAGTAAGGTACTCAAACAGTTAAGATTCCTTTGCATACACCTTCGTATAACAGGCTGCTGCTGCCTTCAGTCAGCAAGTAGCACACCATGGAAGACCTGGGACCACAGCAACAGCTTTGTGCTAGTCAAGCATTTGTAATGTTAACAATTTGGGGGGGGAGCAAAGAGTTTCGTAAGACCAAAATACTTCAAGTCTCACGTAATACATTTTCTCCCCCAGCTTTATTTTCGCTGTCTGATGGAACACCATTAACAGTGTGCCAGGAATGCTCTATCGTCTGATTCCAGAAGTCTGCTGCATTTCAGGAACCACAGGCACATTCCCTGCTCAGCAACACACAGCACAAAAAGTATGTAAAGGTCTGTTATACTAGTTTTAGAAGCCATATAAGAAAGTAAGGTAAGTAATCTTAATCTTCCCTGTTGGTAAAGTCTGTTAACCTAGTTAATCCACAGGTATGATGATACGTATCTCAACACCCAATGAAACAAGTGTATTATAAGCCTTTAAAGTATACAGAAAACTCAGTTCTGTCCTCTGATGCTGTTTTCAAGTTTGTTTTATTTACTCTTTTGGATGACTATAAATAAGTGTTTCCACTATGGAAAAGAAAGTTAGCACAGTACATTTTCATGACTGGGGAATGGATTTTCTGAAGACATCTTCAAAAGGGCAAAAGCTTAGAAAAAACAACCTGAACGTTGAATTCAGTTCCTTATAAAGTCCCTTGTAAAAATTAAAAAAAAAAAAAAACACACCACAGAAAAACAAAAAAAAAAAGGAAAAGAAAGAAAAAAGTAAAGGAAAAACTGCAAGGCCCAGGATGATTTATTGCTTTTCTTCAGTTTTTTCCTTGGTCTCTTTCTTCTCAGATTCTTTGCTCTCTTCCTTTACAGAAAGCTCTTCTAGTTTTTCAGCAACTTTATCAGCACTATCGTTTTTGTCTGTGCCTGCTAAGAGATTGATTAGGAAAAAAGTTACATACAGGCAGTAATGGAGTTTCCTGTTACAGGGGAAAGAGAAGCAAAGTG